ATATATGTGTGTGTGTATATATATATATATATATATATATATATACTGTATATGGGTCATTTCATTTAATATTATATTTGTATATTTAATTATATATACAACGTGTCAATTCACTTCCATCTGCTTCTATAAAATATATCAATATATTTATCTATTTTTCTCTCTATGTAGTCCGTAAACAATTCAGTGGTTTTGGATGCCTGTGGCGAGATTTCCATAAAAAATCTGTAATTTCCATTTTCTTCGTACAATGATATATACTTTTTAATTCCTTTTTTTGTCTTTGTCTCTTTTTTGTCTTCAAGTCATTATTATGGCAACTGATATATTGAATAGTGACTAAACTGTTTGAACAAGTGGCTCTTATTACTTGTAAAATGACAGTGTGGACAGTCAGTCTTAAACATCTCAGTGGCTATGTTTACATGCACAATTTTTGGTTCAATCGGACTGAATTCATTCCAATTGATGAATCAGAATGTAGTGTTTACATGACCGCTAAATAAAGTGATCGGGTTGATGTGCGTGTCTATATGTCACAAGCTTCAAATCGGAATTGATTTTCTTTTACATGCGCACACTGCACAAATATAGATTTTCTCACTGTTTGCACATAATAACCACTCTCCTACACGGTTTATTTATTTGTTTTTAACATCAGAATTCATATTTATTAATTTATGGATAAATATACATATAAACCGCTGTGCCATGCTGCTCATATTTATCACACAGTAAAAATGCCCCTCCCCGCGCCCAAAACGGGTTGCCTGTAGATGAGAATCCAAAACAAGGACTGGTGGGAGGTTGTCCGGCTCCACTTCACAGTTACCGAGTGAAAGGAGAGTTTTATAATGACAGGACATGCATTTATACATCACTTTATTCAAAAGGAAGAACTGCTCGTTCTGCGTGTCATAGGTCATTACGCTCTTTCTGCATCATTGCACATGCGCAGTTCTTTCAGTTTCGGGGTTCAATCCGATCGAGTGTTTACATGCACTCTCAATCGTATTAGAAAAGGAATAAACCACCCCCTTCAATCAGGAGCTCAATCAGATCAATTAAGGTGTTTACATTAAGGTTTTTCAGTCCGATTGAGCCGTCAATCCGATTACAAATGGATTATTTGGTTGCATGTAAACATAGCCATTTAGATTTGTGTTCAGTGTGAACAAACTAACAAGTATACATGATACGTTTATCTTGCAACTAAAATCTATTTCTTTCTTTTATCTCTTGCAAACTTTTCTGAAATCCCCAGAGCTTTGGACAGATAGCTCTGACTTAATGCATACCTCCCATTGGGTCTCTTCCAGCTGGGGATTAATGCTTTGGCTTTGTGCCGCTGGGCTTTGACTTCTCAGGGTCTGGCATTCCAGCCTGACAGAATCCAGCTCCTCCTGCAGCCGGTTGCGTTCCTGCTGTGCCTTATACAGCTGCAGCTGCAGGTTTCTTTGTGAACGCTGGGACTGCTGGGATACCTGCCGCAGTTTGGCGTTGTACAGGTGTTTCAGTTCTGTCACTTCCTTCTCCCAGAGACGCTGCTTCTCTTCAAAAACCTACAGGAGGACACAGTTTTAAATGTTGTTATAGTTTTTATTTTGTAATATTGGTAATGTAATGCTTTATTTTCAATTTCTTTCATTTTTCAGTATTTTCAGGTTTGCTTATTTTTTCGGTGTATTTACTTCTTTTTTGTTGTTGTTGTAGTATTTGTTTATGGCCTATGTTTAAAATGTATTTAAATATATTGTTTTATAAGGTATCAACTTTTTATATATATATTAAACCTATTTTTTAAAAAGAAATGAATACTTTTATTCAGAAAATATGCATTAAATTGATCAAAAGTGGAAGTGAAGACAAACATATATTCTTTAACCATGTTACAAAATATATCTAATTAAAATAAATGCTGTTCTTTTGAACTTTATTCCTGGAAGAAATGTGTTATTTTTTCCGCAAAAATAATATGCAGCACAACTGTTCTCTACATTAATAATAATAATTAAAAATAAATTTTAAGCAACAAATCACTATATTTCTGAAGAACCATGTGACACTAAAGACAGGATTTATGATGCTGAAAATTCAGCTTTTTTTTTGTTATTTTAAAATGTAATAGTTTTTACTGTAATTTTTGATCAAATAAATGCAGCCCTGGTGAGACAAACTGACAAAAAAAATATATATATATATACATAAATTACATATGTATTGTATAATATATTATGAAAACTAGCACAGTTATTCTAATTATTAATATGAATTTATCATAAGCATATATTTACTTTATATTGTGAAATATTTATTTTTATAATAATATTTCACAATATTATTAAATATATGCAGCATTGTTGAACATAAGAGATATTAAGAACATGAAAAAAAATCAATCTTAAAGATGCTGACTTGTGCAACAGCGTCTTCACTTTCATCCAGGTTCCTCCTCATCTGACGTAACTCGTTCTCTTTTTCCTGCAGACGGTCCTCCAGGTCCCTCACCACGTCCTCCAGAGAGTGCGACAGCTCGTAGGGTGGCGGGGCCTCGCTTCCATAGCACTGCAGGCGGTTCAGCGTAGCCATACTGTGACAGGACACGTCTGTGACCGTGGAAGCGGCTCCCTTGGAGCCAAGCGAGGTGCGACCTAGTGAGCCTATGTGGTTGATGTGACCCATAGAGGCACTGATTTGTCCCAAGTGAGGGCGGAACGGTGGCCGATAAGGCGGCAGGCTGTTCATGGAATTGTGCCCCGAGTCGGATGTGTTCTCCTCTTCCTGGTTGAGGCCCCGGGCTGCTGCTAGCACACCTTTGCTGACACTCGCGCCTGGCCGTGAAGGGGAGGAGGACGAGGAAGAGGTGGACAGCGATTTGGACGCTGCTTTGGCATAGGACGTATGCATGCCGTTGGTTAAGCCGCTCTCTACCTCCTCTGACTTGGAGGGGTAGAGGTTCTGCATTGAACTGAAGTTTTTTGGGGTGACCGGTTTAAAGGCGGAAGGCCTGAATCGTGGCTGTGAAATGAAAAGGATAAGTCAATTGCAGCATGTGCATCAGGAGAATAGATCTACACTTAAATACTGGAGCCATGCCAAACAACATAAAGTAATTTGATGTAGACCACTTTTACTTCCATATTTCTTTGGTCTCGCTGAATTTCCTGCTCAATAACGTCACCTGAGGGAGACCATATTTGATTACAGAGATAAATTTAGCCAGCAGAGGCTAGTCAGTTAGTCTACACGCTGCTGGCCCGAACAGTTTATATGATTTATTTCCATTTGAGACTGTGGGGAGTAGCCCACCTATCAATAAATTACACTTGCCTCAAGAAGAAATATTGCCCTTATGGAGCCAGACTGGAAACATTGTTACGATTTCTGCGTTTAATTGACAGGCTTTGAAACCACAACGAGGAACCTATTCATCTTGTTTTAATCCAGTCATTGTAAAGTGTGTTTTTAAAGGGGTCATATGATGCAAATTAAATTTTTCCTTTCTCTTTGAAGTGTTACAAGCTCTTGGTGCATAAAGAAGATCTATAAAGTTGCAAAGACTAAAGTCTCAAATCCAAAGAGATATTCTTTATAAAAGGTAAGAGTCAACCACGCCTACCTAAAATGGCTCGTTCTAACCCGCCCCCACATGTCTACATCACGATGTGGGAAGATTTTCATAACGCCGCCCAAATGTTCACGCAAAGAAAGAAGGCGTAACTTTTATTCTCGCAGTAGTATTGTTGCTGCCGCCATGTCGTGAAGATGCTGTGTTTCGTTGTGAAAGCGAAACTACTTCGTTTGGCCTTCCAAAAGAGGACGATATCTACTTCATCATGTAGATGTAGGGGTGTAACATTTCCGTCACACGCTTGAGGTATTCGGCCAATCACAATGCACTGGATAGCTGGCCAATCAGAGCATACCTCGCTTTTCAGACCGATGAGCTTTGTAAAAATTGACGAGTTTCAGAAAGGCGGGGCATAGAGGAGAAACAATAATGTACAGTATGTGGAAAATAATGTGTTTTTTTAACCTTAAACCGCATAAACACTGATCCGTGCTGGTCGCTGAGGAAATACATCAACTTCGTGCTGTGGATCGCCGTATCGGCTTTCATTGTGGACGAAGCAGAGTCCAGCCTGGGGTCGTCACATGTAGTTGCCGCTCCTTCGTCGAATCCTCCGGCCGCCGGTCACTCTAGCCCCACTGGCCTGAAAGCGAAACTACTTTGTTTGGCCTTCCAAAAGAGGACACAACTAGAAATCAGTGGTTAAGTTGTATTTACAAAACTGTTCCAGAACAGTTCAACCCAAATATTCAGATGTGTGCAGCACATTTTATGGAGGACTGTTTCCTGATCCTGGGAGAGCAGACTACAATGCCGGCTGTTCTGACTCACAGACTGCAAGTATGTTTTTTTTATATTAAAGAATTTGCCACTGACGATTCAAACGCGAGTTTTGAGCAGTGTAGAGTAGCGCTTGTTGCTTGTCATTTCTGCGATCACAAATGCAGACATGGTTTTATGTTTACGCGACAGTATATGTTATTATAATCTGTCCCCACTGGATGCAACAAATGCCTCGTTTATAATGGGTTTTAATGTTTTTGTCTCGTCGCTCCGGCCGGACAGGGCATCACCGTATGGTAAGGGGTGTAACATTTCCGTCACACGCTTGAGGTATTCGGCCAATCACAATGCACTGGATAGCTGGCCAATCAGAGCATACCTCGCTTTTCAGACCGATGAGCTTTGTAAAAATTGACGAGTTTCAGAAAGGCGGGGCATACAGGAGAAACAATAATGTACAGTATGTGGAAAATAATGTGTTTTTTGAATCTTAAACCGCATAAACACATTTCATTACACCAAATAATGTTCTTTTTAGCAACATCATATGACCCCTTTAACACCTGCTCCTTCCGAGATTTGTTAAATACTTACTGAAAACAAATGCTGGTGGGCAAAAAAGCCAGTAACTATGATAAATTCATCCTTACTTTCCTACAAAGTGGTAAACAACTACTGAACAGAGTTTCTTTTTCTTTCATTCCTTAATTAAATAAAATAAATTTTAATATTAACAAAAATGCTGCTTTTAGTCAGGGATATTGTCAAAACATCAGTTATTGGCAATATTAAGAGGATTTGGCATTTCCAATTAAAGGGGTCATATGATGCAATTAAAAAATTTAAATTGCTCTTTGGAGTGTTACAAGCTGTTCTTGCATAGAAAAGATCTGTAAAGTTGCAAAGACTAAAGTCTCAAACCCAAAGAGATATTCTTTATAAAAGTTAAGACTTGTCTACGCCTACCTAAAACGGCACGTTCTAACACGCCCCCACATGTCTACGTCACTGTGTGGGAAGATTCGCATAACACCGCCCAAATGTAAAGTGGGGCAGTTCGCAAGAACAGTCTGACGCTTCTGACTCACAGCCTGTAAGTACATTTTTTATATTTAAGGGATTTGCCACTGACGATTCAAATGTGAGTTTTGAGCAGTGTAGAGTAGTGCTTGTTGTTTGTCGTTTCTCCAATCACAAATGCTGACATGGTTTGTGGTCATGGTTATGTTTGCGCGGCGTGATATGCAACGTGTAAGAAGACGTATAAGTCATTATAATCAGTAATTATGTCCCCACTGGATGCAACAAATGCCTCATTTGTAATTGGTTTTAATGTTTTTGTCTCGTCGCGCCGGTACACAGCATCACAGTATGGTAAGGGGCAGAACATTTCCATCACACGCTTGAGGTATTCAGCAAATCACAAAGCACTGGATAGCTGGCCAATCAGAGCACACCTCGCTTTTCAGACCGATGAGCTTTGTAAAAATCGACGTGTTTCAGAAAGGCGGGGCATAGAGGAGAAACAATAATGTACAGTATGTGGAAAATAATGTGTTTTTTGAACCTTAAACCGCATAAACACATTTCATTACACCAAATACACAACATAATGTTCTTTTTAGCAACTGCATATGACCCCTTTAATGAGGCCTGTTACATTCTTATTTCTATTATGCCTGTTATTATTATGAAATTACTTTTAGGCCTATTAATAAATTAAAATTACAACTAATTTGCCCCGCAATATTAGGCTACAGCATAACTGGCGCGCTGCGAGGATAACAAAAGATTAGACTATTTACTCCTCAATTGAATTATAGGCCTATAATTAAAATATTAACATTGCAGTTATCAATAAAAATCAATGAAATAAAAAGTTTTAGCCTATTTCAAGCATCGACTTTCAAAAACAACTTGTTTAACACTAAATACATTTCTTCTCATTTTTCTTCTCACTATGTACGGGCCACAAGAGAAATATTAAGGGACTAAATTAAAACGGCTATATACCGTTATCAGCTCCGTCATTCCGTTTTTACCATCACTTTCTACATAGTGAATTTACTGAGATTATACAATTGGCCTAATTATACTCCGAATTAGCCTCAGAATTATACCCACCCCCACCCCCCTGGTATCGAAAACGTACCGAACCGTGACACCACTGTGTCGTATCGAACTGAACCGAACCGTGAATTTTGTAAACTGTTACACCCGTAAAATATATACACACACACACAACGTGTAAAATTAAGTATGTAATTTCTGCACCACTTGAGTCTTTAAACATAGTATCAAAACTAATAGCTGTTTAAAGCCAGGTTCCCAAACACCCCCTGCATCTGCTATTGGCCAGAGGTTCAAACCTGTAATTTTGAGCTTGACAAACATGGAAAATTACAATTACTGTAATTCTTACATGACATGAATGAAGCAACTCTTTGACAGTTGTGTACCTTGTCAAACTTGCCACCTATGGGAAGCGAGTTCTTTCCCAAATCGACCTCCTTTCCATCCCTGTGGTAGACCTTAGTGTAGACGTCGTCATCCTCCCTCCTGTGCTCTCTCTTGATAGAGGATGTCCCAGAGATGAGGTGTTTGCTGCCCTTTGCTTCCTTCTTGGTGATGTTCAGATAGTTAAGCAGCTCTCTCTGGTTGAAACCCTTCTTGAGCAGGCCGTGGTTCTGACGTCCTGGCACTTGTGGAACTGCTCTGTTGCTCTTGGTTGGTGACACGTCTGATTTCTCGATTAGGCTGCCTACACTTCCCATGACGCAGTGGCCTGCCAAAGTGGATGCTGGATAACCGGCACAGATGCTTTTGCTGGGGTCCTGGTTCAAGGACAGGGCCTGGACTGTTGCCATTGGTTACAGGATCAAATGGCTCCACTGGGATATCTAAATTGAAAGAAGAGAAATGAAAAACAATGAAAACTCCTTCACAGGATCAAATATGAAACCTGAATCCTTCTTCTGCAGAAAATACGGATATTTCAAGAGGCTCTGGTTGCATCCATCTTTGTTTCACATCATGAAGCAAGCTATTCCTCTTACCGTCCAACTTATTTTTACTTGCTAGTTTTACAAAAAATAAAATTTCTTAATCATTTGATAATGTCACACTGCAGGACACAATGTCAGCTACTCATAAGCACATTTATATATGTAGTTTAATAAAAACCATTTCATATAAGACCACGACATGAAAATAGGTCAAAAGCTTCTGCTTTCCTTTTAGAAATGAGAACTACTCTACACACTGAAGTTCACAAGTCTGTTATATAACTGAGATGATACAAGCTGGGAATCGTCTCATGAGCCAAATACCCTGAAAATTAGGACAGATGCCTTTGGAATGCAAAAAAAAACACTTTTAATTTACACTGCAATACTGCTGCATTAATCAATGTCCTCTGGTAATCACTAATCTTTCCCTACTAAAAAAAAAAAAAAACTAAGTTTCCTCTCCTTGGAAGTGAGGTTGATCTACTTATTTGCTCAAGTGCTGCCCTGCTTCTAAACGGTCTGGGTTTCAATATATCTGTTTAGTAGTGCCTCATTCTTTGTTTCTCTCTAACCCTTTCTCAACAGTTTTCTCTTTCCAGAGCACCTCATTAAGAGCCTGTATTGATTTCACCTCAACGACCTTCTCTCTCATTGCTATAAACATAGGCTAACTGGCCTCAAACACCCATAAAGACAAATGCACTTAAGTGTTTCTGCTTGTGTGTACACTCATCTACAGGCACATCCAGTGTGAATATATACTGTCTGTCTTATATACATGTAGGACACATTTCTGTAACTAAGAATAAACAGATTGAAAAAGAGCTAGTGCCCTCTGAAGAGTCATAAATAATATAATGGCATAAATAATACACTTAGGCCAATTGTGACTTTTTGGTGGAGCTAATACAGAAAAACGGAGGCCTGAAATATTCTAGCACTTTGCCAGATCACTACTCAGCACCTCTGGGTCATGCTGAGCATCTCTTAAGTGTTTCCTTTTGTCTAGTGCATCTTCACCTCTGGCATCTCATCCAAAGCAAACATTTGCTCACTGTGACCTTCCCCCATGGTGATGGATCTGGTATTAAAGGAACCATGCTATGTGTGTTTTTTTTTTAAAATGATCTAATTTGTTTTTTCCTGAAGTCCACCTAGTAAAGTTTGTTGTTGTTGTTGTTTTCCCAAAACACTAATGAACTTTTCCACCCTCTTTGTGAGCCTAGGCGCATTTTGTGCTGCTGTACCTATAAGACTTGTACTGTAGATAAGAGAGGCATTCTTTGTCCTGGTGGTCACAGGATGTTTTTATGGTGTTTATACTGTTGTATTCCAAAAGATCAAGGGAAATTACATTTATTATGATATGTTTGTTTTATAAAATATTAATAAATACCAACCTGCTGGGACAGATATCCAAGTTGCCAGTGAAAATTGCTTTTTGAAGCTCACAATATCTCTTTGGTAGTCATTTTCAGTGAACGCTGAAGCACAATTGAAGTCCTGGTAATTAAAACTCGGAGAACTAATTGATTCCACTGATATTCCAGTATTATACTGTAAAATAGGTTTCTAAATAAATATTTTGACTTGTTTTCCATAAAAATATCTAAACGTCCTGAATTGTTTTTCTAGATTTTTAAGGGAATGTATCTTCATTTTTTTAGTTCAGTTTTGAGCGTAAACCTCACTTAATTTTGTTTCTACTAAATCTTGTTTATACTTAATAAAAACAATGGAGAAAAAATTCTTAAGATATATTTCATGAAAAATGTGGTAAAATGCTTCTTAAAAGCTCAACTAATTTTGTTAAACCTAATTTAATTTTGTTTACATTTAATATTTGTGCTTAAAACAGGAAAACAATCTATTCTCACCTCAAGATATATTCTCTAAAAACAAATGGTTTTGCTTTCCCTTAATAATTTCTTAAAAAATTTTTTTTTTGCAATGTATTAACAGCTTCACCACATGTCAGCACATTATGCTTACAAATGTGCAGTTAAGCACAGGATCCCCTCCAGGCTCTTCCTTATATCAACAAAATTATCATTTACCAAATTCAGCCTTACACTACTGGAGTGATTATGCAAATAGTTAGAGAAGAAGCCAAAAAGGTGCAGCACTTAAGTTCAGGCTTTTACCCATAGAGAGATCAAAACGGCACCTCATGATTTTATGCATGAGATGTGGCCGAGATCTCCTCAGTTTTCTGCCATCACAGCACTCAGCTAACTACAACACTTACTGCACAAGACCTGCGTCTGCGCAAGTGCTGATTATAAATATGCCATGACTTGGAGTGCCACTTTAGTTTATGATTGACAGGATGGATAGTGAAGTATTCCACTGATATTATACTGTAAAATAGGTTTCTAAATAAATATTTTGACTTGTTTTCCATAAAAATATCTAAACGTCCTGAATTTTTTTTCTAGATTTTTAAGGGAATGTATCTTCATTTTTTTTGTTCAGTTTTGAGCATAAACCTCACTTAATTTTGTTTCTACTAAATCTTGTTTATACTTAATAAAAACAATGGAGAAAAAATTCTTAAGATATATTTCATGAAAAATGTGGTAAAATGCTTCTTAAAAGCTCAACTAATTTTGTTAAACCTAATTTAATTTAGTTTACATTTAATATTTGTGCTTAAAACAGGAAAACAATCTATTCTCACCTCAAGATATATTCTCTAAAAACAAATGGTTTTGCTTTCCCTTAATAATTTCTTTAAAAAAAAAATCTTTTTGCAATGTATTAACAGCTTCACCAGATGTCAGCACATTATGCTTACAAATGTGCAGTTAAGCACAGGATCCCCTCCAGGCTCTTCCTTATATCAACAAAATTATAATTTACCAAATTCAGCCTTACACTACTGGAGTGATTATGCAAATAGTTAGAGAAGAAGCCAAAAAGGTGCAGCACTTAAGTTCAGGCTTTTACCCATAGAGAGATCAAAACGGCACCTCATGACTTCATAGACATCAACTCATGGAAAACAAAATGGATAAAATTTATCAGTACTTTCCTGAATGAAATGTAAATAAAAGTTTATTTTAAGTATGTACAATATATCAGTACCATATAAGCTGATACTGTGATTTATTGATTTTGATTTATTGGTATTGTTTAATACTAAATATTTGTTGGTCGATATTAAATATATTTAATTGTGCATGCTTGTTTTCCTTTTTTGAATATTTAAGTGACTTTTGTTGTCATCTAATGCTCACTTCATAGAATACTGTAATTATCATCTTATCTGTATTGACCAGAATTTAATATCTGTCTGTAGTATATTTATAATCAAAATTCTCTTGCTTTGTCTGCCATTTTGGAAAGTTTTTTTTTTGTTGTAGCTTTTTTTTTTCTCTCTGCAAAGTATACATGTGATAATCCCTTAGAATTGTGCCAAAATATATAAAGGAACAATTATTCTGCCTACTTTTTGAAAAAGGCATTGCATCAAAAGTGTTTATGATACCTTAAAATGCTGCCTCTATACACAGCTCACTTAATTGTGGGAACATAACAACAGCCTCTTTATTGTTTACTAATTATAGATGTAAATAAAAGGTCCGTTGAGGTAAAACTGCTGGGAATCATGACCAGAGTTTGTAGGACCCAAAGTGACACTAAGTCCCCTTTTATTATTCACCCATTTAGCACCAAACTACAGTCATTTGGCTGAATATGACTCCCTGTGAAATATGACAAGTCGAATGGTGGTGACTTCATTCATTGAAAAGGCCCTAACTTGACACTAGCTCTCTTTATAGGATTGCATCACGTTCTTTAGAGGTCTTATTTTGGCATAGAAGCACCATTCATTTTTCACAGGCACACACACTGGAGACATTCTCTTTAGTGAGTACAGGGCCGTTCAGTCATGCCATTGGAAAAGCACCATAAACATGCCCCTCTTTTTTACATTGGTTAGTAGAACTTTTCGAAAGTTGGGTTTTTTAAAGTGTGAAATGGCTTTAAAACGCATGATTTCAGCGCGATATACACGATAATCAAAACCAAAGGGATGTTTTTTGGCAGAGTATCTGCGATTCGAGCTGTAGAAGCACAGCCCTATTCTGTAAAAGGGGGCAGGGAGCAGCAGCTCATTTGCATTTAAAGAGCTTCCACTTAAAATAGGCATTTTCAAAATGATAAAATAAATGATCTGTAAGGTATTTTGAGCTGAAACTTCACAGACACATTCTGGGAACGCCTGAGGCTTATATTGCAAATTGTAAAAAGGGGCATAATAGGTGCCCTTTAAAGAAATTAATAATTCTTTTTTTCAGCAAGTATGTATAAAATTGATGTGGCAGTAAAGCTAGATAATATTAATGTTAATATTACAAAATGTTAAAATGTTACTGATAATGTTACAAAAGATTTTTCAAATAAGTGTTGTTCTTTTGAACTTTTAAGAAACAAAATTGTTTTCACCTGTGCTCATGTACGCAAAATTCGGAAATGTGGTCTGAAGCAGAAGCAAGCCATGTGGAGGTGTGTCAAATCCTGCATGTGCGTTAATGTATGAAGATCAGCTTGTGAGGAGGCTTTGTGGAGGTCACTCTGAGAGTGTTAAATCGTATTAGCCCTAATGCTGTGAAGTGCCCGGCACAGACCTGAGCCGTTCAGGTTTGTTTTAACAGAGCAAATCCTTGTCCCCCGCCTGCTGAGTGCTGTCAATACTGACCTAAAGCACTTTTTCAAACAGCTACGTGAGAAATTAGTGCAACAGAGATTCGGATGTTCCATTACTCAACTGCAACGTGCAACTTTAAGGGCACTTGTCTGTATTTTATGGACGCATTTTAAACAGTCTCTATGGTAACTGAATGGAAACTTCACACCTACCTTTAGAAACTTTCAATAAATATAGC